AGGGGTGGCTCCTCCCACGGCTGCTCCATTAGTTGCATCTCACTGCTTAAGCCTTTAACCAAGAAATTGTCCAATTTCTCCAGTTCTTCCAGGGCCTGGAGCGGATTGAAGCCTTCAGGAAGTGTGATCTTCATGTCAACCTGATCCACAGCACCTGCCTTGCTCCGACGGAGAGGTCGGACACCTGAGGTTTTGCCTTCCGTGGTATAAGCAGGGAGGGCGGAGGGCTGTGCTGAAGGCACAGTGGCACAGGGCTGATCAGCAGCTCTACTAGTAGCAGATATCGAATCCAGGGCTTCTGTGCCTTGCTCTAAATCATCCTCACCAGCGATGGGTTTCTCCCCAGACCAGGTGGTTTCACTGGGAGTAGCCTCCAGGACCAGCCCATTAACCACATCCGTCACCTGGCCTTGGATATCCTCCAAAAACACAGTCTCCCGGATGTTCTGGAGAAGAGGCCGGGCAATGGCTGGAGCTTCAGCGGGCGTGTAGGCAGGTCCCACCATGCGCCTGGGATGCGGCTGGTCAAAAAGCTGCACAACCCCGTAAGTCGTCAAATGCGTGTGGTTGTCTACCAGATGGAGGCAGACGTTCTTCTCCTTGACAGCATCCTTCCCCAGCAGCTTGTACCCAAAAGTGAGATCAATCCAGTGGTGGAGGTCCTGAGAGACTTCCCGGCTCTCAAGCAGCATGCGGTGGACTTCGATGAACTCCTCGTAGGAACTACACCAAGACGGCACGTCCAGGTCAGGCATGTCCGGATGGATGGATCGGAAGATGGAGGGGTCAGTATAAAACTCTGGGATGCACTCATCCGGGGTCCAGCTCTGCATGCGCTCCATGCTGGCTGGATACTCATTGGGCTCCCACTGGGACCTGACGTGGCAGCACAGCACTGCCTTGGGTGTCCTCCGAGCCGTGTACACGTAGTAGGTGATATCCGAAAGGACATCGGAGATGTGATGGGGGACATGGAGCTGCTCCCCACTCGACCCACCAGCAACAAACGCCTGCTTGGTCATCTCATAGGTGAAGTCCAGCTGCTTGTCCCCCTTGTTGAGTCGGAACTTGGATTTCCTTAGGTCCCTAAACTTGCCGTTTTTGGTAGTGAAGTCCACCACCCATGGAAGAACCGGGTGATAATTGGGGTCTCCCATTCTCCTCCCAGCCAAACTGTTTAGACGCATAAGGTAGTCAAAGTTGCTGACCTGCCCATGTACCCACTGTAACACCAGGTCCCGAAGGTCCTTCTGGCAGGTGGTGCACCTCGCCTCCTGCCCTCGCACGCCAGCGCTGCTTTGCTCACTCGTTCGTCCCAGGCCAGCCTCCAGATCCGCTTCCTCCTTCTTTGGTCCCTCGTACTCTGTGAAGTTCACGCGGAGCCGGCTGCACAGCTTCTCATCTACAGCCACATCCCGAAGGGAAAAGGCACCGCAAGCCAGACCCGCCTGGTGACAAGCCCTCATGGCCTGCAGCACGTGGAAGAGGAGGAAGAGGATTTTGGCGTGGCTGTTGGTGAGCTTGGCCGGGCTGAAAGTCACGATGTCGTGCAAACAGTACTGCACATAAGGGTAAATGACGTACAGCATGCTGGCCGACTCGAGCAGAGCTTCAGCCTGCAGCACGTTGGGGCAGGAGGGCACCCCTTTGGTGGCTGCCATGCTCTCCTTGGCGGGGGAAGCACCGGGCACGCTCTTGCCCACCTGAAGGACGGGGCAACCATAAGCCTTCTGGAGGGCAACCCGCAGCGCATCCAGGGCCGGCACGGTGGGCGGCGTGTCAGCGTGCCAGTACGGCCGCACGTAGAGGCAGTGAGCCCGGCCCCACAGGTTTCGGTAATTTTGGGAAGCGACGCTCTGCATGAAGCCGTGCAGGGTGTCCGGGCTGCCATTACGTTGATCAGAAACGGGGGGCTGCACCCGCAGGGGGTACGCCAGCCGGTCCTTCCGCAGCCCGTGGATCTCCACCCGGGTCCAGCCCGCAGGCAGCTTCTGCACGGAGTGCTGCAGGAACGTCCTCACCTCCACGTCGCTCAGCCCCTCCGGTCGCGGGCACAGCCCGGGCAGCACCCGGCGCTCTTTGAGGCTCGCCAGCCATTTTACCGGGACGAAAGCGGTAACGTGGGTCCTCTCGGCGGCCAGCTGCCGACGGTCGATGTTCAGGTCCTTCTCCACGCTCTGGAGGAAGCCATCCATATTGGATTCTGCTGGAAGAAAGACGGCCCAAGGAGGCTGTGAGCGAGCGGGGGAGTGCGGCACCGTCCCTGCCCTCCCCACGGGATCTCCGGCTCCCCCGCCGAGCAGGCGCCACGCAGCAAGTCTCACTTCCCCATAGCCACCCCGGTGAAAAAAAGCTGGTTTTAGGAGCTTGGTCAAAAGATGTTGTAGCTGAGGGGGAGGGGGGGGGGGGGGAGGGTTGAGAAGGGACCAGCCCTGGCTGGGGGGAACAGGATGGGACCTCCGCAACCATAGAGGGGGACACGGTGGGACCCCCACAGCCCCAGGGCCAGGGAGGGCAACATGATGGGACCAGTGTGGGGACACAATGGGACCTGCACAGCTCAAGTGCTGGGGAGGGGGACGCGATGGGACCTCTGCAGGCCCAGGGCCAGTGCGGGGGTCACAATGGCCCCTCCACAGCCAAGGAGGGGGACAAGACGGCACATCTGCAGGTGGCGGGGGGACACGAAGTGATCTCCACAGCCCCTGTGCTGGGGAAGGGGACACAACGGGACCTCTGCAGCACCAAGGCTGGGAAGGGGGTACAGGATGAGACCTCCACAGTTCTGGGGTTGGTGGGGGTGGGACACAACGGGACCTCTGCAGCTGGGGAGGGGGACAAAACAGGACCTCCACAGCCCCAAGGGCTGGTGTGGGAGACACGATGGCAGCTCCGCGGCTGGTGAGGGGTACAGGATGGGTCCTCTGCAGCCCAAGCGCTGGGGAAGGGGACAGGACGGGACCTTTGCAATCCCAGGGCCGGGGAGTGGGGGGGACATGATGGCACCTCCGCAGCACGGGGGCACAGCCAGCCCCCGGGGGGGGTGACCTCAGAGGATGCCCAGCAAGGAGGACGTCCCCCGCACCGAGCCAGAGGCCGCGACCGGAGAAGCAGCCGCCGGCCCCGGGCCCCGCCGGGGCCTCGTTACCGGAGGATGGAGGCGGGGGGGGGGGGGGGGGGGGGGGGGGAGAAGAGCAGAGCTGGGCTGAGCCCCCCCCCAGGCCCGAGACTCGTCCCGGGGGTCCTAACCCCCTTGGGGTGGGGGGGGTGTGGAGGGGTCCCTCACCGCCCCGTGGCTCCGCGTTACCTGGCGGCGGCGGGCTCAGCCGCGGCGGGCGGCGGCGGGGGCCCCGGCCATGTTGGTCAGGTGACGGCGGTCACATGCGGCCGCCGCACCGCCATGTGCCCGGGGTGGGGGGAAGGGGGGGGGCGGAACGGGACACACACGCCGCCGAGCCCCGGTCCCCCCCGGGGGCTGCGGGGGCGGGGGGGCCTGGCTCGGGGCGGGGGGGGGGGGGGGGGGGGGCGGTTGCGCAAGGCCGGGGCGCGGCGCCTATACATGGGCAGGCGGCGGGGCATGACGCGGCAGCACGGCCGCCACGGCTGGCTGAGGTCACCGTGACGTCAAAGGCGCTCCGGGCTGTCAGCTGGAGTCGGGCGAGCCGCGCTGACGAGGCAGCCGGCCTTAAAGGGGGTCCCCGCGGCGGGCGGCGGCTGGTGGACCCCACCGGGAGCAGGTGAGTGCCCGGGGGGAGCCGGCGCAGGGGAGCGGGGACAAACCACCCCCCCCGCCGCCCTGGGGCCCTCCCGCCCGCCTCTCCGCAGGCTGCGGGGCCGGGGCGGAGCGGCCGGGCACTGCTCGACCCCGGTCCTTGTGAGCCAAGCCGGGTCCTGCAGCCGCTGCCCGGGCGACTCCCGGTCTGCTCCCTCCGGGTGCGGCGTTGCCGGCGGAGGAAGCTGCCCGGGCACCCTCCAGCGACCGGACCCCGCGCGGCCCCTTTAAGGACGCCGGGGGCTCCCGCCGGGTAGCGCCGCATGTCGCGGCGGCGGCAGCGCGTGGGAGTCACGTGGGCGGGACGTGGAGGCTGCCCATTGGCCCCCCGCCCCCTACCCGCTGCAATCAGCTGTTTCTGGGGCGAAGGGCAGGAAACGTCCTTAAAGAGGCGCCAGAGCCGCCGCCCCTCCCACCGGCCCGGGCCGGCCCGCAGCACCCAGCCGGGCCCGGGGCGGGTGTGGGAGCGCCCCGGCTGCCCAAGGGCCAGCGGGCCAGGCCCTGCCTTGCCGGTCCGGGCCGCCTCTGCCCTCCGCTGCCCGCGCAAAGGGCGCGGCCCCTTTAAAGAAGTTGTCCAGTCATCGCGCGGCGCTGCCAAGTCATCGGGGTCAGCCGAGTTCCCGCGGCCCCACCCCCCGCGCCCGCCGATTGGTGGCGCGGGACGAGCGCTCACTTCTGATTGGCCGCCGACTTACAGCAACTTCTCGGAATCGGGGCAGTCACCGGCCCCGGCGCTGACAGGGCTCGGGCGGCGCCGCCCGGGGCGGGGAGGGGGGCGGCCAGGACGGCCGCGCGCCAGCGCCGCGCCCCGCCTGGGGCCCGCCGGGGGGGGCCAGGCCCTTTAAGAGCCGCCCTCTCCCCCCCGCGCCGCCTCCTTCACCCTCTTGAAAATGCCAACTCACAGCACGCAGAGCATGCCGGGATCGCCGCGCCGCACTACACCTCCCGGCATGCCCCGCTTCGGGGCGGGGCCAGCCGTTTCCTAAGCAACCACCGGTTGGCCGGGAGGGAGCCGAGAGCACCCCTGTCGGGGTGGGCGGGGCAGAGCATTGGCTTTGCTTCTCCATTGGCTGAGCGTCGGGCCGTTCTGGGTCGCCATTGGCGGGAGCGAGTGGCAATCGCGGCGGGGGCGGGAGCGGCGGGGGCGGGGCGTGTGCCGCCCGTGCCGGGTGCTGATTGGTCGGGGGTGGGGCCGGTGGGTGGCTGCGTCATGACTCCGCCAGCTGATCCGAGACTGGAGCCGGCGCGCGCGGCGGTGGGGGGAGGCGGCGGCACCGGGGCCGGGCCGGGCCGGGCCGGGCCGGGCCGGGCCGGGCCGGGCCGTGGCGACGGCGATAGCGCTGGGCCGCGCCGCGCAGGTGGGTCCGGCGGGGCCGCGCGGGGGGCGGTGGTGAAGGGCAGCCGAGCCCCGTGCCGGGGGCTCGGCCGCTGAACCGGGGGGTCGAGGGGCCCGGCAGCCCCGCCGCTCCCCCCGTAGTCCCTCCACCGGGGAAGGTCACCTTTCACCCGGGGCAGGGTGGTGGGGGAGGGCTCGTCTCGGCGCGACGCGACCTTCCTGGGGTTCCTCGGGCACAGCCTGGGCCGGGCGGCTTCGCCCCCGGTGGCGGCGGGGCGGGGTGAAGGGGGGGTGGGGGTTGGGACCGGGGCGCGGTCCCCGCTCCGGGGGGTCCCGGTGGGGCGGGCGGGGCCGCAGCCGGGGCCGCCCCGCGACGGGCGGTGGCCGCCCCGGGGGTGACCTTCACTCCGGGACGGTGCTGGGCAGACTTTGACCCGAGGCCGCTCCCCGCCGTGGGCACGGACCGGAGCATCCCGGGCAGTGGAGGGGGTGGGAGGTCAGCGGGGTGTCCCCGGGGGGAGCGAAGGGACCGGCTTTACCGTGGAGCAGCGGGGGGGGAGCTGTCTTCGTTAGAGGGTGAGGGAGACTTGGTTTGACCAAGAGAGGATTGGGGGTGTGGGGGGGTGACCCGGTGAAACCGTGAGGGGGGGCACGAGCTGGGGGCACAGTGGGTTTTATTACTGGGGCGAGTTCCCACCGGGACCCTTCCCAGTGCTGGTGGGGTCTGTCGGCGCTGAGAAGGGATGGGGGAGAGCCCTGATACCGGCAGGGCCCCTCCCGGTACCGGCAGGGCCCCCAGTGCTGGCGGGACCGGTGGCTCAGCGACGGGTGCTGATTCACGGGCCGGCGGGGGTGGAGCAGGGCCGGGACCAGCTCGCTGGAATCCGGACCAGATGTACCCGGCATGCCAGGAATGCTCGGCATCCCCGCCGGGCCCCGCTGCCGTTGCGCCCCGGCCACCGGCCCCGCACCGTGAGCCTCCCCACAGCCCCCCTGCCGTGACACTCACCGGGACTCCGGCCTTCCCCTGCTGCCTGCTAAGGCCTGGGGCCACCCGGGATCCCCAGTGCCTTTGGGGAGACGCTGGTGGGAGGATGCTGCGGGGAAGCCGCCGTCGTGGCCGGCTTGGGGGGTGTCCCAGGGCCTTCTGGCCCCCCCCCCCCCCAGCAGAGTCAGCCGCCTGGGGTTTTCCCACAGCTTAATCCCTGTAGCCAAAACACTGGGTGGTGTGGGAAAGGGGTTTTTCCTGGGTGGAGGAGTAAGCAGCTGGGTCCTACACTGGGCCCCCCGGGTTGGCGTCCTCATTCTCTGACAAAATGACACAGAAAAAGGCTGCGTTCCCCAAAATTCCTCTGGCGGTGGCTTGGCAGCAGCCGCCTGACAAAGTGTCTTCCCTGGCAGGCAGTGGCTGGCCTCCAGCCAGCGCGGATGCCCGAGGTGAGCAGCTGGGGAATGCCGTAACCCCCACCTGCGGTAGCCTCCCTGCCGTGGCCACCAGTCCCTGCCAGAGCAGGTTGCCTTATCTCTTATTTTCTGGCAGAAACAGCCTTGAATTCCCTGCCCGTTGCGCGTGGTTTAGGGCTGTCTGCAAGTGCCAGAGCTGATGCACCACCTGCTTCGGGAGAGGGGAGGGATGGGAAGAGTCGAGGTCAGAGCTGCTTCTGGATCCCTTGTGACCAGAGGCTGATCCTGCGGGATCTCAGCCTCCAGGAACTTCCCAGGGTGGATCAGGGCTTAGTGCTGGGGTGGGGGAGAGTGACAGCTCTCCTGCCTGGGGTGGCTGCTGTGGGTGATGTCTCAGCTCAGCGTGGTTTGATCCTGGCTCTGATGTGTGTGTTCTCTTCCCAGGTGCTGCCTCGCCGCCCTGCTCCTGGCTAACCAGCAGCAGTTCTTCAGTGGCAAGCTTTATGTCCTTCTCTAGTAGCTAAAGCTGCCAGTTGAAGAACTGTTGAATGTAGCCACTCTCTTCTCGTTACCGGGACCTTGGATGTCAGCTGGACCTGTGCCCCAAGTGACTGGGACAAGCCAGTCTGCAGCCTCCTGTGGATTTGAGGGCTGAGGATGAGCCCGACCAGGATGAAGAAGCCTCCAGACAGAGCCTTGGCTGGGGGATTGCCAAGCAGCCCCGCCAGTAGGGCTCTCAAGCAGGGTTTCCCACACCAGTGGGGTGGCACTGAGCTGCCAGATGACTAGAGAAAACCAAAAGAGGCATTAAACTTTCTGTTTTGCTCAACAGTTCAGTTTTAGGAAGTTTGTTGCCTGTGGGGTGCCTGGATCTGCCTGGTGGGAGGATGGTGAGGGCTGTGGACCCCATGGGGTGCTGGGGTGGGGTGTAGAACCAGTTCTCAGTCCCTGGCTGATGCTGCATCAGGGTCGACAGCTGGAGAGTGGGTTGTTCGGGTCCCCTTGGTTTGTCCTGAGCAAGAGAGGTGACCCAAGTCTGGGTGTAGCTCTCCGGACTGACCTGCTCCTGAGCTCAGGAGCAGAATTAATCCTGCAACACAGCAGGCAGTGGGATGAAGCCAGAGGAGTGGGCTGGCTCCACACCCACGCCGCCCTGGTGCGGGTTGGGGCTGGGCTGCTGGGAGTGGGTGACTCAGGGCCGAGTCATGCACGGCCCCAGACGTCTGTTCCGGGAACCACCATCCCAGACCTGGCAGCCCTGTCTGCTACCAGCCCTGGGGCAGCACCAGGATTCCAGGTATTTGGAGCCAGCAGCACAGAGAAAGGCCTGGGTGAACCTTGCTGGGCTCCTCTGTGGTCCAGACTCTGCCTCACTGGTGGATGGAAGCAGAAGACTGTCCTCAAGGGGACTTGAAAGCTGCTCTCGAGGGCTGGAGACCCCCCTCCCTCACACTGGGTGAGAGGGGAGCTGTATCGCTCTCCTGTGGCTCAGTGCGGGGTGAAATGTCTCTGTGTGGACCCAGCAAGGGTCCGTGGGAGCCTCTGTACCCCCAGAGGTGCCTCTCCCACTGGATTGCTGGGACCACCACCTCCCCGGGTGCCTGGGGAGCAGCGTCTGGGTGCTGCTGCTCAGAGCTGGCCAGAAAGAGCACGACTCATCCCAGCTCTGAGGGTGGGCAGGGAGGAATGGCCCTGTGCTGAAATAAGTCTGCACAGTCTCAGCTCAATCTGCCTGTCCAGGCTCCAGCTGCCCCAGGCAGGGCTGCTACTAAATTTTGGCAACCAGCGATATGCAGAAAGTGGCCTGGTGTCTGTTAAGTGGTAGAAGAGAAGTAAATCTGTTGTCCTGGGGTCCTTCCTTCTTATATAAAGCTGTTCCACTTGGTGTGTGCTTGCTGATGGCTACAAGAAGCTCAGTTTCTTTGGGGTCAGTCACCCAGAGAGAGTGGGGCTGCCGAACCCCGCCATGGATTGCTCTCTGAGCAGAACGGACCATGGGTGAACACCTCCAGCTTGAGACAGAGTCAGGCTCTTCCACTGCAGCTGCCAGTCCATACAAAACAACAAGTCCTGGAGTGCACGGAGGGGGCAAAATGTTGTGGGTGGGGGGTGTGTGGGATGCCTGAGGGCAAGGAGGGGCAGCTGCAGGGCTGTGCTCCCCCTCCCACACATCACAGCACACTGATGCTGATGCTGGATACAGAGGGGAGCTGCGTGCTCCGGCCACCAGCGTCTCTGCCCCTGTGTGTCTTGGCGTACAGGTCACACTGAGATTTGATGCTTCCTCCTCTGCTTGGAACCAACTCTTTTCCTGGTGAGATGTGGCTATTTGAGGGCAGAGAATTACCCTGAGCAGCAGCACCAAGCCCTGGGGGTCAGGAAATGTAAAACATCGTGTTTCAGGTCAAATTCATACGTGAGAAGGTGCCAGAGTGCAAGTGTGTGCGTTTAACACAAAACCAGCATTGCAGTATCTCACCTGCTGAGCAAACAGGCTTGGGCTCTGGCTAGCCTGGATTTAATGTCAAAGCAGAGGGACTTTAGGCTGACGAAGTAAGTGTCCCTGTGGGAACTTGCCCAGCTCTCAGGGCTTACTCTTCCTCCTGCAAAGCCCCATGTGACTGGTGAGTAAGTGCAGTGTTTCCTGTAGAAAGCAGAGCCTTGCTCACTGTTGCCTTGCAAAAATCTAGTACCTCTTTCCTCTGTCATCAAGGCTGTTTTTCCTGCAGCATCTGGCCACCTCCTCAAAGCATCCAGCATGCAGGGACATGGCAGGAGAGGGGACGCTGACCAGGGCTGGGATTTCTCTGCTGGAGGCTGGCTGCTGTCAGGGGGTGGGAAGTGCTCGCTGCAGCAGCTAATGCAATATTCAAGACAGCTGTAGCGATGCCAGCAGGTGCTGCTTGCTCAGAGGTCAGATGGCAGCCCCCTGTCCTTAGGGGTAGGGTATTTCGTGCGAGTTCTTGCACACAGACTATCTAGTTCCCAGCTGGGAGAGCAGCTTGCCTTGGTCACAGCTCCCCTTGCTGGGAAAATGTGCTTTCACAAAGTAGAAGGTCAGCGTGACCGGCATGCTGAATGAAAGCTCCCTGCCAACAGCCAGTGTGAGGAGCAGGAGGGGTTGGTGGATCTGTGAATGTGTGGCTGCTTCTGCTTGCTCAGACCCTCAGCTGAGCCCCAGGACGTGGGCATCCACCTCTTACCCAGCAGATCCCTGTCTAGAAAAAGGGGGAAGCATGGCTTTGCTTTGCCCCAGCATGCAAGCAAGCAGCCAAGGGCTCTCTGCAAACACAAAATGCAGGTGCTGGGTTCAGCTTTGCTCATGATTTTATTTCTCTTGTGCCAGGACAGGAGGATACAGAGCTGATAACACTTGGTTGACTTTGTGCCCCTCACAGCAGGGCATGTACTGAGCTTAGGTTTCTGCCAGGGAGGGTACATTGCAGGTGTCGCAGGCCCTGCAAACGAGAGGCATGTTGAGGGTTTGCAGTAACTCACCTCGACTTCGTGTCTCTCAGTTGACTCTGCTGGCATGGGGAATGCAGCGCAGAGCTGCCCACCAGCTCAGTCAGGGTGTCGCTTACTCTGCTTCTTCTTTAGAGATTTGTTTCCCCAAGTATAAAACTTCTGCAATCAGAGACACCATGGGGTCACAGTTCAGGCTGGCAGCTGCAGTCACGAAGCCATCCCTGAAAGGGAAAGCGGAAGAATGTGGATCTCTTCAGTGTACATAACTCAGCACGGCAGTGTCCCCGTGGCACCCTGGCTGGAGGCCAGCTGTGTTTTGGAGGGCTCAGGGCAGGGTGCCTGGCACTGCAGGGCGCACGGGGACTTGTGGCAGATTGCCTGGCACTGCTGGGAGCTGGGCACCGAGCCTGGGAGCAGTGGGGCAGAGGGAGGAGATGCATCCCAGGCTCTCTGCCCGGCTGGTGTCTTCAAAGCTCATCCTCTTCTCCTTCCCTGCCCTGCCTTGGATTTTCTCTGAAAACCTCTCGCTGCTGGTTCAATGGCCAGCAGTTGCCGGTGATGCGCAGCCGTGGGAGGTGAAGTGGAGCCTCTGTGGGAGCTCTGCAGGCTGTAAGGGAGAGGAGCATGCCCTGTTCCCAGGGCGCTGCCATCTCAGGGCACAGACTGGCCGTGGATTCACTCACCTGATGTAAAAGATCAGGAATTTCTGATGCTCCAGGCTGCCCTTGACAACAGTCTCCGTGTACCCCTTCCCACAGCCTGCAAGAGAGAACATCGCAGCCTGATTGGGGAGCCCTGGTACAGGAGCTGCCACCCATCCCACCTCGGTGCCATCACAAGTAGGGGCAGAGGGGACAGCGACTGCCTGGGGCAGGGGCTGGGGAGCAGGCATGGAGGCCCCGGACAAGCAAAACTGACCCAGAGGTGCAAGACTGCATCGTGACCCTAAGCCTCTCCTTGGCTTGGAGAGGGAAGTTCTTCCGCCTTCGTGACCCCTTAAACCACCAGAGATCAGCAAAGAACAAGAGCTCTGGGTAACCTCCAGGCCCAGAGCTCAGAAACAGGGTTCACAAATTTGCCATGGCAGCCAGTCCAAAACTTAAGCTGCTTCAGGTAAACTCTGCAACCGCTGTGTGTTTACAAGCCCCAGACCCAGCCAGTGGATGAGCAATCGGGCTAGGAAGCAGTTTGGCCGTTGCCATCTCTCTGCCCCCTCCTACCTGCATAGCGGATGCTTTTTCCAAACATCGTGGTCCAGAAGAAGGGAACAGTGTGCAACTCCTTCTCTTTCTTCAGCATGTTTAAGGCAGCAACGTGACCTGTGGTGAACCAGCAGAGGAAATACTTTTCTTGCAGGTCCTCAAAGAAGTGCCTCTTGGCTCTTGTTAGCCTGCTGTCCCTTCTGCCCCATTCCCTCCATGCCCATGTCCAAGGGGAGCTGGAAAGCGAAGCGGCTGCGCTGTCTCACCATGGGCCTCGGCCACCTGTTGGTGATGGATGCTGGACCGGTCCCAGTTGAGCAGCGCTACAGGAAAGGAGACCACATCCCCCGCAGCAAAGACATTTGGGATGTTGGTTTGCATGCGCTGATGGGACAAAAACCAGTTAGTGCAATGATGAGAGGGAAGGGACTGGGTATGGACCGAGAATACTCAGCTGGCACTTACCAGATCCACCAGGATAGCACCACTGTCATCTCTGGTGATGGAGGTGCCCTTCAGAAATGCTGAGTTGGGGGACACCCCTGCAGGGAGAGGAGCGAGAAAGTGCAGCAAGCTCTGCAAAGGCAGGGAGGAAACTTGGCCTTGGCCCTACAGCAAGCACGTGCCTGTGGTGCCTGTTCTGTCTGCTTGGAGCAGAGCATCTCGCAGCAGTGACCAGTGCTTGGGCTGGTGCTGAGCTAATCCAGGGACAATAAAACCAGGGCCCAGAACAAGGCATGCTCTGATAACACAGCAGTGACCTATGGAGCTCAGCAAGCGTGCCAAAGTCATATTGAGAGCATAAGTAGCTCCTTTCCTCCTACCAAGCATTTGCTCATGGGGCTACTGACTTTCTCCAGGTGTTTGGGGCCAAGAGGAAAGGCTGAAGGATAACGGAGTGGGAAAGAGATTGCAGGGAATGATGTCCTGGGAATGAACAGTGATGCTCTGGGCTTGCTGGCTGTTCTCTCCTTTCCCAAAGCTGCCTCCCTTTCCCAGCTGGGGTCTCTTACCTATTCCCACCACTACCACGTCTGCAGGTAGTTTCTCTCCACTGTCAAGAACAGCCTCTGTGACCTAGGAAGGAAGCAAGAATCGTTAGCAAAGGGTTAAAAGCTCTGTCCTAATTCCTGCAGCCTCCCTGCTGCCTCAGTCTTTGCT